CCAAGGCACTCTAATTTTCCCATATGCCCATTGTGATAGAACGCCTCCACACATTCATTTTGTCCTAGGATCTGATATTTCTTACAAGTGACTCAACATTATATTGTTTTAACAAAGCTCTATTTTAGCTCCATTCTACTTGTTTGTAGAAAACTAATGAGAGAAAAGAGAAGCACAATCATTTTGGGCTTTAGACCTTAGCCCCTGCTGAAGAAATTATGGATTATTTGTGATACGGTGGTCAGTTATACAGTTTATGGACCAAAGATTTAGTTTCCATTTTCCCCTTCTGTGTATACTCTGTTCAACAGATGTGAATGGGGAATGCCTTCCTCCATTTCTCTCCAGTATCCCTCAGGTTACAGAAAACAACTATTTTCACCAATAATCTTAAGATGTGATGGTGGATTAGTATTTGAAGGAGTCAAATAAAGATTTACACTAGTCTACCTTTCACATTCTTAGTCAAATGGTAGAGACTTTCAAAGGAACCATACTACACGGAAGGTGCCAGAAGCTTAAAGGAGGCATTAGCAAGAGTGCTGGCTTGTAGTTGAGCCTGCTGCAATGGAGAGGGGTCAGCCATCCTGAAATTGCTTCATCAGAAAGTCATCTCATCCCAAGAAAGGAGTTCATATGCGAAATTTACCAAATGTATGAGGAAGATGAACAAAATTATTTGTATCTTAGAAATAGTGCAAATAGAAGAATTTGTAAAAACAAATGGAAAATAATCTCAACCTCTCCCCTTTTAAAATGATTATATTTTTATAATCGTTTAAAATGATTATATTTATTATTCCTGAGGAGATGAAGGAGTAGGGCATAAAATAGGCAAAACAGTCTAAGAAATCTGATCATAATCTTTTTTTTTTTTTTCTGATAGAGACACAGCGAGAGAGGGAACACAAGTAGGGGGAGTGGGAGAGGGAGAAGCAGGCCTCCCTCGGAGCAGGGAGCCCGATGCGGGGCTCGATCCCAGGACCCTGAGATCATGACCTAAGCTGAAGGCAGACGCTTAACCACTGAGCCACCCAGGGGCCCCAAAATCTGATCATAATCTTGAAAACAAAATTTATTGTTGAAAATACTCAATAGAAAAGCTACATCTATGAAAGGACAAAACAGTGAAGGAGCAGATTGGGTTGAAGATATCACTGAAAAATCAGAATGAAGAGATGAAGAGTTGATGAATATGAAAAATTAAGAGACAGATATGATTCATGAAGAAACTCAAATATTGATCTACTAAGAATGTTAAAAGGGCAGAGCAGAGAAATGAGAACAGAACCATCTGAAGAGCTTACAAGATGCATGTAATACCATCACTGGGCCTGAACCATGGGGTTTTTTGACCAGTGTCGAGGCTCCCATACGACAAGCACAGGCAATATATTTGCCATGATCCTCAGAAGCCTATTTGAGATAAAAGAAAAAAGGAAAAAAAAAAGAAAAAAAGAAAAAGTGCATACAATGGTTAGTTTTGTTTTCTGCTGAAAATACCTTTGTTAGGTACAAACTGAATCATGGTGAAATAGTAACTTTTGTTTACAGTAGGGGTTTACATGTAGAAATTGAATAGAATAGTATGTAGCCTAAATTCAGAATCATTAGCTACATCCTCTGGAATATGAATGGCCAAGAAAAACTATGACTTCTATGGTTTCACCAGTTTCAAAACATGTACAGTTTTGTATTTTGTGGTTGACTCTAATGGTATAGAAAGGGAATGAGAAACTAGCAAAAATCTTGAGCAATCCCTGATGAACTTGAAATGCTGCATTATTAGCTTTTGTATACAGATTATAAAACCAGATTATAAAACAGCTAAAATCACATTCAAACTAATTCTGGATTTTCAATATTATATAAAGTGGCACATTGAGGCTCTCTGTATGATCACTAAGTTCAGGCAGTATGGAAGACTAGATATCCCTGATATTTTAGCTCATAATTAAAATATTTTCTTCTCATAGAAGTTTCTCCCTAACAGAGGGTAGTCACTCTCAGTCTGTGCCAGGTATCAGGTTAGTGTCCTATTTACAGTTCATGCTTTCATTACCTCCTCTGCTTTAATGGACTAGACTCTAAGCTTTTTCCCTCTTGAAGGGGCACTACAGCAGGATGGGGCTTCTTCTCTCTGTCTTTATTTATTTATTTATTATTAATTAATTAATTAATTAATTTTATTTATTTTTAATGACTGAAACAAAACAGATCTATAACTGCAGCTTCTGGAAAAATCATTTGTCCTTGCCAGTCTTGTATCTCTCCTTGAACTTGATCTTGGCCTCTTGTTGGGCCTTGCATTTAAGAGCAGCGTCTCTGAAGATATCCTGTTGATGACAGTTTTGTCTAAGGGGATATCCACAGAGTACCTTGTGGGCATGAGGTGACTGTAGTTATAAATTTTCACAAAAGACTCAGTCTTTGACCTCTTGGTGACTTTCTCCTTGCCCATGGCAGCTGTCACTTTGCAGGAATAGTGGCCAATTCCAGCCACCAGAGCATGGCTGGAGGAATGGTCTGAGGTGTCATCATCAATGTTCTTCACAGTGACCACTTTGCATCCGGACTAGCATCTGGTCAGGACCAGCACCATCTTTCCAGGTTTCATGAACTTGCCCATCCTGACACCAGCCACTCGAGTCTACAGCAGAAAGGAAGCAATGGCCAGAGCTTCTCTTCTTGATTCTGATATTTCTGTTTTGTTCTCTTTTTGCTCTTGCTACTCTGGGGCATGAAACTGACACACACCAAAAATGATACTAAACCATCAATAACCCTGTGGTAAAAAACAGAGACAAATGCAAAATTATTTCTGAAGTTGGAATATTATTTAGACATAAAAAATGAAGTATTGGGGCACCTGAGTGATTCAGTCGGTTAAGCATCTGACTCTTGGTTTCAATTCAGTTCATGATCTCAGCTTCGTGAGATCGAGCCTTGCGAGATCGAGCCTCACATTGGGTTCTATGCTCAGTGTGGAGTCTGCTTCAGATTATCTCTCCCTCTGCCCCTCCCCCTGTTCATTCTCTCTCTCAAATAAATAAATAAGTAAATAAAAAAAATGAAATATTGACACATGCTACAATGTGGATAATCTTTGAAAATATGATGCTAAGTAAAAGAAACCACACAAAAAAGATCACCCAGTGTGTGATTCCATGTATATGAAATATCCAGAATAGGTGAAAATATAGAAACAGATGCAGATTGGTTGTTGACAGGGGCTATGTGTGGTGATGAGGAATGGGGAACAACTGTTGAATGGGTATGGGAGTTTGTCTTGGATGATCAAAATGTCTTGAAACTAGATAGAGGTGGTGGTTGCACAATATTGTGAGTGTACTCAATGCCACCGAGTTATTCACTTTAAAAGAGTTAATTTTACATTACGCCAATTTTACTTCAATTAAATAAAAAAACTATTCTGGTGTGACACTTCCATGATGTGGGAAAATCCACACCAAAGTTTAGTTCAGAGTAGAAAACCAAAAACACTACCTGGGAGAGTCAACAGAAGTAACAAACAGAAAGATTAGAAAGAGAAGAACACAAAACCATGTAAGTAATGACATGAAACAGTATAGTAGGAAGTGAAGGAAATTATAAGGAAAGAACAAGACTCAAGAACAAGAACAATTTTTTTACATAACTACATAGAACTTTTAGAAATAAAAAAATAGTAATTTTTTTAATGAATTGGACAACTGATTAAGTTAAACTGAAGGGATAATTAATGTAATGGAACTTAGAGCTGGGGATAATAAAAATATTAAAAATATGTAAGACATTTAAAAACTCGGAAGATAGAATGAGAATATTCCAGAACATGTCTAATAAGAAGTCTAGGAAAAAACAAAATAAAAAAAAAAGAGAGGCAATATTTGAGGAATCAATGACCAATAATTTTCCATAATTTGCATTATTACCTAATAAAATATGTTATTACAATTACTTTTAAGAAAAATTTATCAATATGTAATAAAATTGAAGAATGTGTATATACTTGCAATCCTACTTGTACTTTTCTGTTGGGCAGAAGTTCTTAGAATACCCACCTGTGCAGTGATGTACCTTGCAGCCTTATTTGTAATAGGGAAAAGATAGAACCTTATTAACTGAATCTTTCCCAGGACGTCTTTGACTCTGCTTTTATACATTAGGAAATCTGCATTTAGTCACTAGAGACTTTATACTACTCAAGAATTAAAACATTTGGCTAATTAAATTTTATCTGAGGAAAAAGTCCCGTAATTGAGTTTAAAATAAAATACATAAGGTAATAAATAGAGATGTAAACAGTTTATTAATTTATAAAGGTCTGCTGAAACAGTGTGCTCAAAATAAGGCTAATATGTACTATTCAGAAGAGTGTCCCATTAAGATCCTGATTCAAAATCAGTTAGGTAGTTATATTATGCACAATTCTAATGGGTTTGATTATCTGATCAGTTCACAAATTATAAATAGTAGATGAGAAGCGAGGGATGAAAATATGCCTAGAGAGGAACATGAGACTGAGCAGCAAGGGATGCCAACTGGAAGGAAAAAACAAGCAATAAAAAGCAGATGTATTTAACACAAAAATCTTGTCACTTTGAGTCCCTTTTTTGGAGGTGTACAGCCCCATGTATATATTCTTCTTGAAGTCTTCATTATCATGGTATGGTTTTAAAATCCATGTTCAAAGTGGATCATTAGCACAACTTTAATTTTGTTCCATAGGCCCTCTTTAAGACGTAAGTTGAGAAGAATGGGATAGAGTGGGCAGACAATAAACACATGATTGAAGAAAGATAAGGGGGAAGGTTCTTAGTGGTTACACTGAGAGTGTGACCTCAAAGCGTGCTGCTGGGTAGGATAACTTCAGGAGCCATATGCCCTAAATGGGTTGTGATTCTCCCAGAGTAACAGGTACAGGGCAGGGGTGAGATAAAGGAAATTAGCCGTCTGCTCAGCTTTCAAGAAATAAGAAAGGACACAGAGTTCAGTGGTGCTGGGAGCCTCGCGGGCGCGGCGCCGTCACGTTACTCGCAGTTGGGCGGCGGCCGCGGCGCAGCGCTGAGTGCACATCACGCCTTAGCAGCAGCCCCGGAGGCGCCCCCGCCCTCACAGCCTCTGCGCTGGCGCAGCCACCCTCGCTCCCTCTGCTCTTCTTCCCTTCGCTCGCACCAGGGCTGATCAGTTGACCGAAGAACAGATTGCTGAGTTCAAGGAAGCTTTCTCCCCATTTGACAAAGATGGCGATGGAACCATCACAACAAAGGAACTTGGAACTGTCATGAGGTCACTGGGTCAGAACCCAACAGAAGCCGAGTTGCAGGATATGATCAACAAGGTGGATGCTGACGGAAATGGCACCATCGACTTCCCAGAATTTTTGACTATGATGGCTAGAAAAATGAAAGATACAGACCGTGAAGAAGAAATTCGCGAGGCATTCCGAGTCTTTGACAAGGATGGCAACGGTTACGTCAGTGCGGCGGAGCTACCTCATGTCATGACCAACTTAGGAGAAAAACTAACAGATGAAGAAGTAGATGAAATGATCAGAGAAGCAGATATTGATGGAGTTGGGCAAGTCAACTATGAAGAATTCGTACAGATGATGACTACAAAATGAAGGCCTACTTTCAACTCCTTTTCCCCCTTGTAGAAGAATCAAATTGAATCTTTTACTTACCTCTTGCAAAAAAAAAAAAAAAGTTCATTTACTCATTCTGTTTCTATATAGCAAAACTGAATGTCAAAAGTACCTTCTGTCCACACACACAAAATCTGCATGTATTGGTTGGTGGTCCTGTCCCCTAAAGATCAAGCTACACGTCAGTTTTACGATATAAATACTTGTACTACCTTAATGATAAGGAAGCACCTAATGGACTCCTTGCAGTTCCATTTGCTCATGATTAATACACTGTTTGGGCTGGCCAGTTTTTCATGCATGCAGCTTGACAGTTGAGCACAGTCAGGCATTTGTATTAAAAACAAAAAATGAAAAAAACAAATTTAAAACTTATTCAAATGGGTTCTAGTTCAATTTTTTAGTATAAATTGTCATAGCTGGTTTACTGAAAACAAAACATTTAAAATTGGTTTAGCTCAGGGTGCTGTGCAGAGAAATGGGTGAAGGATAAACTGTCTAGACGTTGCCCCACTTAGCAGGATGGCCCTCTCGTACTTCTGGGCACCCCCACCCATGGTGACCATGACACTCATCCCAGTGGCATGCCGTGTGTGTTGGTTTAGCGTTGTTCCGTGTTGTCCTAGTGCGAAATGGGTGTCAAGCTGTCACCATTCACACAATTTTTTTTTTTTTAAACAAGAAACCTTTACCAAGGGAGCATCTTGGGACTCTCTGTTTTTAAAACCCCCTGAACCATGACTTGGAGCCAGCAGAGTAGGTTTTGGCTGTGGACTTCAGCACAAGCATCAACACTGCTGATCAAGAAATTACAATTTACGTCCATTCCAAGTTGTAAATGCTAGTCTTTTTTTTTTTTATTATTCCAATAAAAAAAGACCATTAACTTAAAAAAAAAAAAAGAAATAAATCACACGGAAATAAGAAATGATGTATTTTTTTTAAATGGTGTATCCTATGCACTGTGAACCTCTCCTTTAATGAAGCTCCCTATAAATCTTCAGTAACACATGTGTTCTGCTAATGCTTTGGAATGAAGGATTTGTTATGGTGATGAGCCCTGACCAACATGTGGTGACAGTAAAAATTGCCTGCAGGTACAGCTAAGAGCCAAGTTCTGATTAATGCTTTGTCATGGAACTGAGGACATACAGGTAGAAGCCCCGGTGTGAAGAGCAGGTCATAGTTCATTTGGGAAACAACAATGAAAAATCTCCTAAACTTAAAAAAAAAAAAAAAAGCAAAATTAAATTATCAGCATTTCCAAAATATATTTGAGCAATTTTCTGACAGTTTCTGAAAGAGACAATCCTTTACTATCTCTGCTAATTCACCTCATGATGCCTACGAGATAATATTTTATTACAACCCTATCTAATAGATCCATGGAGATACAAAGCCTTTGGCATATATCGGATTTTCTGGAAATGTAAAGGAACAAAGAAGCTTCGGAGACCCTGCCGGGAGAGAGCTCCGGAGCCTCTGTCACTTCCTCCCCTCCTCCAGTCCCGGCTGCAGAGCGCCACCGCAAGCGCGCGGAACGCGCGGGAGGTCGGGCCAGCGGCGCGCGCCGCACGGCGGGGACACGCGAGCACACGATGTCCTCGCGCAGCCCGCCCGCCCCCACCCCCGCCCCCTGCTCCCTGTTCCCTGCAGCCCTTGCAGAGGGAAAAGTAAGTAGCGCACCTCACCACTTCCTCTAGCTGAGACCGAAGATGTTTCTTCCGCTGGTGCTGACAATTCTACAGAACCAACTAGTTTCATCATGGAACAGAAAGAAAACACGATAGAACATAGATTTTTCTTCCTTCCTTCCTTCCTTCCTTCCTTCCTTCCTTCCTTCCTTCCTTCCTTCCTTCCTTCCTTCCTATCTTCCTTTCTTCCTCTCTCTCTCTTTCTTTTTTCTTTCACGGGGAATAATATCAAATCTACCGCTAGTCCTGGCAGTAAGCATGATGGACTTGTTGGTATTCCTGTATGCACAACATTTAATTTTTCCAGCTACACAGTCGATATGTTGTTGGCAGTTGTAAAGAATCTCATTATCTCTCAGGCAAAATACTCTATCTAGAATGTTGTATGTGGCGAAGGTAATTTTAAAGCAAACAATTTTGGATTAAAAAAAATAAGCCTGCATCTATAATAGGAGAAAACAGCGAGAGGAATGATAAATTATAAGAAAACCCAGAAGTCCTGCATCTGGGTGGGTTGTG